AGCAACTCAGGCTGTCAAGGTATGATGAATATAAAAATACCTGGACATTTCCCAATCATAAGCTTTGTATGAGAAATGGACATAACTGCTCTGACATAATCCAGTGGCCTGTACAATTGGCTTTCAAGGCACTCTGTCTTTTTTCTTACATCATTGGGCGCTAAGATTTAGGAGTCAAAGGTGATGTGGAAAAGATAGATGTGACTGAGATGGTTGAAGAGATGACTTGAAGTATTATTTAGCACCGGTTGATCTATAAGTTTTTTAGATAGTCAAAAAGGTTTTAGTAAGATGAAATGCAAGGACAGTGAGAAAACTATAAACTGTTATTCAAACAACATCCATTCATTATTTATTTTCTTTGTTTTTCAAAAAGAATTGCAAGAACTCAGAATTAAAAAAGGCTTTATCAACTATGATACAGGTCATATTCCTTTGGCTTGTAGAAGCACTTTGAGCTAAATTAATCATAATTATTATTCAGCTAATTACATTTGTTTTCACAACTGCATCCCACCTAACTTTAGGATTCACTCAACTTTTCTTGTACAATAAGTTTGAATTGGTGGTGGGAATATATTATTTCTTGTTAGAAGAATAATCTAACTGTAATCTTGGAATTAATCTAGATTAGATTTTAATTCTACACATTTGAAATCTGCCAAAGGCATTCATTATATGTTTGTGTGCTACCTAAATATTAAGTAAAAATAAGTCTTTGAACGGGTTCCTCAAGCCAGGTATTAATAATGTCTCTTGTGGTCTGAAGAAAAAATATTAAAATGTATCACATGAAACTCTAGTTCTCGAAATTAAAGCTACATCGATTGATTTTGCTTATGATAGTTCGCCTCACAGGTAGTTTGTAAGATGGGTAGCCGCATTGAGAACAAGCTTGAGCCCATTGTCTTTAACCATGAAGATCGGCTGGTGTCTGAAGGCAATCCACTGAGCGAGGAGATTGGTTAGGTTGACTGTAGAGCTGTGCTGAGGGGCCTTGCCTCGGTTGCACTCAGACATTGTATTTTGACGAACACGACTCTTCGCCTACGCTACATAAGTGTTTGACCCGGTCGGCATCTTCCTCATTGACCTAGGGAAGCTTTGCGTTTAGGTGGTACTAATTCCGCATTGAACAAGAAACAAACAGCTTTAGTCTTGTCAAGGTTTCTATTGGGAAGCTTCTTAAATTCTTAATTTTCCCTGAAGCAAACCCAGTGGCTTTATAGCTGCATCCATGTTAGCACTTCAAGTTCAGTTTGCTAATTTCAGAGTAGGCCTAAATAGGTTGGAAGACTGATTTGTTCTCGCCCCCAGATATACATACGCGGCAGATATATATCTGTGCTTAAATATGAAGGGAAAAGTCATGGTAGCTTACTTAGTACAGAACCAGCTCCCAATCATCTTTGAGAATAGATTAATGGCGACATTTTGTTTTTAATCACCCGATAAGAGTCTGTCATTAATGCGGCACGTTAACACCGATAACGGCCAAATTGTAATTATGTATAACTAACAAAAAACTAAAGCTGTATGATTCTGATTTTGATTTCAGACAGAAGGAGTTTCATTTTTTTTTTATTTGACTGCAGCTTCCTTTCTCAATGGTGACTCTATTTTCAGAGCATAATGTGGTGATTGTTTTGTGCTTTTGTGTGAAAAGATGATGTATAGTGGTATAGATTTCATAGGACAACTTTCTAGAAAAAAAGATAGAGAAGTGGTGTAAAAAGAACCAATAAAAAAATGCTTGATATACCTATAAAATTTAGTAAACTTTCATAATTTTGTGTTGTTAATGATATAGTCTAGATCAGGGGTGGGCAACAACAGTCCTGGAGGGCCCGTATCCTGAAACTGTTTGATATGTCTTTACTTAACACACCTGAATCAAGTAAATAGATAATTAAAAGGACTCTGGAGAAATTGATTGTATACTGGGGAGGTAATTGAACCATTTGATTCAGGTGTGTTGGACCAAGGATGAACCTAAATGTTGCAGGAAACTGGCCCTCAAGGACTGGAGTTGCCCACCCATGGTCTGGATGCTTTCCATGCACCTCATTTAAGTGAGTCCTATCACTAGATTGTGATGAATTAAAAGGATATATTTTCCAACAAACATGGAATTATCTGTAGGAAAGTTTTGTAAATCTGGTTGTGTTTAATAGTAAAAAGGCAAATGTAATAAAAAGAGGCCCTCTGATATATGTCTTATGATTCTCTGTGTGGTTGTTGGCTACCAGAGCTGACATATCCAAACAACAAGCAAGCTCAACAAGACCTGTCATCATAGTCATACTTGCAGTGTCAATGGTGATATGCTTGCTTGGTCTTTGGGGGGCTGTTCTAGTGTCCCTGTCTTACAATGCCAGATGCTTACCATCTCCACTTTCTGTTTTCCCCATATTGCTGTGTTAGTCCTGTCACTGAATACCTGACTGCTCTTCCATTTCTAAAAACATCTGAACCAGTTTATCATTTTTTCTGCATTTCAACATATCTTGTAAAGTACTTTTAAGCACATATATACACTTTATGGAATAATGATGTTTTATTAGTTTCTGTTGAATTTGCTATAGTATTTTGGGAATTTGGTTGTTTTTATATTTTTAGATGTCATTTTAAGTGATGTTGAAGGTTCTCATTTTATATCCTGCTCCTTAAAACAGCTTAAAACAAACTAAACTGAGTGCGTGCCAAGGTGAACTTGCATTCAGCAAGGTTGTATAAAAATAATTTTAAAGTCTAGTTTTACTAATTAATGGAAACATTTTCTTCACAACTCAGATGCTATGATAAAAGCATTACTCATAAACAATTTTGTGCTGTTATTGTAGGCTGTTTTACCTGCATTTTAAAAGTGCTTTATTCTTTAAATCCAGAAGTGAAAACATTTAACAATTTAAATGGAAATGTAATGGAGGACAAAAATTATTCTCCATACTTTCCTATTCCTTTTTTGGTCATTAAGAACATAATTAGAACCATGCTGCAAATGTCAAAGCTGTAATGGTTCCTCTAGGAGACCCCATGCTGTTTGTTTATGTGAAATTAAATAAGCAAAATCTACATCAAATATTAAAATCATAATAAGATCCTAAATTATGAAGAAAAAAAAATTCTTTTCCAATAACCCTAAAAAGTTTGTCATTTTACATAACCAAAATGAAAAGAAATCTACATAAAAAATGCCAATCTTGGATAGCAAGGTAATTACTCAGCAGCTGACGCAACTTAATCTTCTCAGTGTTTTGGCTCATGCATGTACCTGGCACCTCCCTCATACTTTATCAAATCAGCATAATACCCTTTTTATTATATTGTTCTCTTTCAAACCAAACCCTGAGCTACTTTGGCTGTAATTCTTCTCCTCACAATCTGAATCGCTTTTCCACTGGCATTCACCTCAGGCGCGATCTTTCACTAATTCACTTGGTTTAAGAGGTGCACCGATAACAGTTTTCTGGCCGATCACAGATTGATGATCTTTAAAAAGCCTGACATGCTCATTCCGTTTTTGACTGATACCGATTTCTTCTCATAACTGACACTATCAGTTATGAGATCACAAGACAAGATATTTCAAACTTATCTTACAAAAAAACATTAATAATTGCTGATGAAACAGTAAAAAACATCTGAAATAGCTACTGTCAATTATAAATCAAAGTTTAAGGCATTGACAGTGGGTGGGTTTTACACAGGAAGATCAGATTAGTGGATCATGACCTCCCAAAATTAAGACAATTTAGGCAGATTGAAAAGCCGGCCGATAAATCTGTGCACCAATATTTTCCTTTTGTAAAAGTTGGATTTTGTAGAATTTACTCGTTTGCTTTTGTGGCGTTTACGTCTCAAGTAACGCTCGCTGGACGACAGTATTTCTAGCGAAAATAGTTTATTGAACACAGACACGACCGACTGATGACGTAGCACGTACAGACTGCTTCAGTGACTGACGTACATCACGCGCTGCGTGCATAGAACTCAAAGCTGCGTCACATATGCGCATATGCAATATTATGCACTTAAACTTAGACTCTACATGACAGCTTTAACCATTGTTCAAAACACGTATGTATGCTTTCTACTGTAGAGATGGGCAACAGGAGCTGAGATAGGCATATGCCGATTGGCTGAGGGGAGCTGAAACGCAGAACGCAATGCTGACAATCGATGGATCAGAGCCACTGATTCAATGACTGCATTTCTAAAGAAAAGCACTTGCTGAAGTCAAGGGCTAAATGTCTCTGTGATTTCCTCATCATGTGCAGGAACAAAGACCTTATATACTGTATGTGAGTTTGAAGCATCCATAATCTAAAAAAAAATCTTCACATTACCTACCCGCTAATAACAGACTGAGAGCCAGATGCCCACCAGCGGCTTTTTACTTTCTGTGCTGTGTTGGATTCACTTGGATTGTTTGCCATTTTTTACACAAATACTGTATACTGGGATTATTCAGTCCTGTGAGTTTTTTTTTTTTTCAGGAACTTTGTAACTCCTGTTTAATTCTATTGCAGAGTATATTTGATTTATTTTAAATGGCTAGACAATATCTATTTTCAGCTTGAAACCTATTTTTTATGTTAATTGAGGGGTGTAAAATCACAAACAGCTATCTAATACATCTCATTTGTTTTTTTCCTCTGATAAAAAACATTTTTAAAATAAATTTTAAACATCTTATAATACATAGTTAAACTTATGTTTGTATTTAAAGTTCCAATAACAGGACACATATCCAAATTGTTCAACATTTTAGATCATAAAAAGTTACTTTCCAGAGTGACTAGTGTAGTTATTTTGTGCATTAACTGAGTTACTAACTCAGTTACTCTTTTGGAGAATTTACTGTTAACATTCTCAAAATGTGTCTTGTGACAGCTTTTTTCTAAAAAACATTTTTCTTTATTTTAAAATAATTGTCATATGTGTATAAATGCTGGAATAGTTATTTATAACTGTTTTGTTTTGTTTTTATTTCCCAGGCCTTTTCTGGAAACTCCAATTCAGAAAGTGCAGTTCGTCATGAACTACAGCAGGGAATTGTGGCTCGCTTCCTAAGGCTCATCCCAGTTGCCTGGAGTGAAGAGGGACGCATTGGTCTCCGCATTGAAGTGTATGGATGTTCCTACTGTGAGTGAATACAAACATCAATGCAAATTCTAGTTTTCCTTATAGTTTTCAGATTCTTTCATAATATTCATGCTAAAAACCCTGGACTATCAGACAAAAAGATATTCAAGAGACGCTTGATCAAGACTAAATAAGGAAAAAAGTGTCCAAAAGACTTCTACCTGTTAATTTTTGTGCTCTAAAGCTGAGTTTCATTTGATCTTTATAGCTTTGAAAATATTTGGGCATAATGTCAAGATTAGTAATAATAACAATCATTGCTATTAAAGGGATAAACGATCAGTGGATCTACAAGAGTAAAAGATGTTATTACACTAATTCATGTTTTAAAAACATTTTCATGATGTTCCTCAATGTGTTTCAGTCGGGGGAGATCCTCTACAAGGAGTGATCTTCCTGTTTGCACATGATCTTTACATTTTCATGTCATAACACTCCTTCTTTTCTTAAAGTATATACTTTGCTTTATGTACATACTCATAAAAATTGTTCGGCTGGATACTTTGTGTATTTAGGTTAGGATTTAAAGCCTAGTAATTGAGGCACTTCATTTTGACAGAGGGTAAAGCTTCCTATCCTTCCTGGTAGTGGCTCAGTCATACTGAGGTAAAGAGACTCACATGGTCACTCCCAAACTACCTATTTTTTATGGTAGTACTTTCCAGTGTTTTGTCTTTTGAGGCTTCTGACCTGGTGCTTGCTAATTTCTCTTCAAAGCTGTCTTAATAAATGTTGTATTCACTATGATGGACTTTCAACCTGTTCATATTTTACAGGGAAGAGACAGGATGCCTATGCCTAGAATCCATCCTCATTTTCTTCTTATAGTTTGAACACCTCTAAATGACAGTCGAAATCCCTCAAAAATGTTTTATTAATTGTCCTGTTATATATTCTATATATTCCCTATTTCTACTTTTTGCAGCAGGCACTATAGATACGTTTTTATTGAGCTGCTGTGAAGTGATCATAGGTTTTTGCTCCTCTACAACACTTTGATCTTACCCTACAATCACTGAAATCATGCATGGACAATCTCTGGCTTGTCAATGATACTATAGGAAAATACCTTTTACTCAAAAACCAAACAAATCTCAATTATAGGTAACAGAGGGGATTTTATTTCACTTGATCATTGAAGTTTTCTTAAAAGAAATATGCATCTATTTTTGTGGTAAAGCATAAGAGCTCTAAAAATGATTTTGCTGTTCAGAATCCTGGAGAGATCTTTCTAAGGTTAGTGGTTCAGCTATCTCTACTGCTCTTCCTCATGTAGTCCTAATACACAAGGAAGAGGTACTTACAACTCACTGATATATTGTTACATAACGGGTCAAATATAAAGATATGCATATATAAAGATATTCCATAAGCTTATGGAAGTTAAATACTGACTTTATATTGCTGCATCAAATTTAGGAAATCTTGAATGTTAGGTGTTATTAGTGGTAGATCTGTTCTCTTCTATATTATGCAGCATCTGGGAAACCTGGTGGGACTCCAAGTCGCATTTTTCCTCACTGACTACATAGTGATAACCTTTCACTGCAAGCTGGATTGTCGCAAGATCTGAGTTTTCAGTCTCAAAACAAATCTATCTTGAAAGACTCCCACTAATACGTCCATCTCATGATAACCAGCTGATCACCGTTGTATCAGTTAATCTTTTCCCTAACTTTGGACGGTAAAAAAACTGTAACTGTAAACCACTGGCTTGTTTACATGATGTCCAGTTACTGTTTACATGCCCTCCCATTAAAGAAAATACATTGAAATGGCAAAAAACTTACTACAGGGAAACGTACTACAGGGTTTCCGTGGGTCATTGAAAATCATTAAAATTCATTAGACTATTTTTTTTAAATGAAGGCCTTAATTGGCATTTAAATTCATTAAATGTGATTATTGTGGCATTTAGAATGCTCAAATAAAAAAAAGAACGTTTATAAAAACTATTTTGTCAGATACATCAGATATAACTGTTTCAGTGTGTTTGTGCGGAACTGCTTGCTGTTGATCGTAAAGCCATATGTTTGGAAAAGAAGCTTGAAACAGGAATGGGAAAATGCAAATTAAAACGAGGAATTTGAGACATGTCTGGAGTCTGTCGACGGTAAAGATAAAGAAGGATTTTGCCATGTTTATAAAAAATATATTTTATTTATTCTTTTCTTCTGAAAAAAACAAACAAAACAAAAAAAACAAATATATATATATATATATATATATATATATATATATATATATATATATATATATATATCAGAGTCATGGGTACTAGTTGTTGGCATTAAAATAATTTCTAGGAGCATTAAAAAAAATAAACCCTGTACTAATACATAAAAATTATTGTGTAACACTTATTACTTGCAGCAGATTTTTTTTCTGTCTTTAATGGAAATTGGCATGTCATAATTTTCCTTTTTCCAATTTTTTCATTCAAAACTATAATCATAACTGTACCATATCAACCTATGTGCAGCTTTTCACCCAAAAATCTTGTAAATGACCTTCAATATATGCAGGCTCTGGGCTATAATGAAGCTTCTGTTTTTATAATCATTTTAAAAACAAACTCAGTTTTATAATAAATGAATCCCACCAAAACAATCAGCATAAATGTTTTTTTTATTTTTATTTTTTTATAGTTTATATTTAGTGAAATAAAAACTCTAATTATGAATCTCTGTTTTGTATGTAAACTTATAAGCACACTTATGATTTGCAAATTAATATACAGCAGTCATGCTTGAACAAGTTTTTTTCAATTAGAAATCTTGAGCTTATCTTTCCTTCTCACCCAGCACTAAACATTTTTTTTTGTGTATTTTGGGAACATGTAGAACGGCTTGAAATAAAAGATGGTATATTCCTCAAAGAATGCATTTGTCAGAGAATCTTATTTAATTGCAATGCAATAACTCTTAATTAGCACACAGATAAGTGCCCTCAGTGAAAAGGGATGTCTGGTGCAACAAGTCTACATAGACAGCAATAGTTTGATACCTTAAATCCTCATTCTTTCTCTGAATAAACTACAGTACTTGTCCAGGTCATAATGGTGCCTCCTCCACTGTGCCACATAGAAAATAGCTCCAGTTAATTTTCCATTTTATGACAAAACTTTTGATCAAACACAAAACAGCCTTTTCTGAATCTAAACACACACACTATCAACAATTTGTCTTTTTATCTCTTGCTCCTTTTTTTATTATATTTGCATTTTAAATCTTTACAGTTCTTACAACCACTTTAACCTGCGTGAAATAAAACTTATTTCTGACTTTTAATCGGAAGTGTAGAAAATGATCTTCCTCACACCAACATATTTGTTAAATTTTTTATTAACCATACTGATATTTTCTGTACATTTATATAAAAAATATATCATTGGAAACAAAAAAAAAAAGTATAACAAAGCTCATAAAGTAACACATACGCGTTCACTGGGATTATAGGTACATTAATTCACATGAGCTTTATAAAAAGTATATTTTAAGCTCTTTGGCATATTTAAATGTCAAAAACAAATGATTACTAAAACATTTTTTCACTGTATTCTATTTGTTGTGTTATATAAAAACAACTTAGGTTACTTCCTATGAATCAAGCTGGTTTGGCAAAATACACTTAAAATAATTTCAGATATGTTCATAGGTACATAGGTTCAGAGAGAAAATTTTGGAAATAATGGCTAGCGTTCCTTGGTACTTTAATTTTAGCGCAGTTTATCTTGAAAACATACAACACATTTAGCCTTGGGCATACAAAGAATAGAATTTTGATTTAGATTTTTGTGAATCCATAAAAAAAATATATATTGGTTTCTCAGCTGTGTTTGATGTATATTAGACTTAACAGATGATCACACAGACCCTGTCATAAACCTTTCCTATTAACATAAATAAGCAATAATTTCAATTAATCTAGTTTCCTAAAAAAATTGCAGTGCACGTTTTCAGACCAGAGAAAAAATAAACAGTCCCCAATCGACTCCTCCTTTTGAACAAATGCATTATCCAGGGAACAGACTCTCTTGCAAACCTCTTCGCTCTCATCCTATTAAAAGGCGCCAAATTGATTTTGATAACAATTTCAATTAAGGCTGTGCATAAATTACTTTTATAAGTGACACACATACATCTTCCATTGTAAAGATGTGATTATATAGTGTGTTGATATGTCTGTGAGTGTGCCTGAACTTGTGAGTATAAACACAAGGGCATGTATTGTATTCTAGTCAGTCCTCAGCTTCATTGATTACGTTCCCTTGTTTCATTTCCTCCCCGTGTCAAAAGAAGCAACTAAGTCATGATAAGGATGACAAGATGTGCAACACTTTACACACACACTAACTAAAACAGCTGCATTGCTTGATTTTAAAGGAAAACGGAATAATTCACGTAGAAACAAAGACATCTGTCTTTTTTAGGTATTCCTCACACATTCAAAACTATTGATTGCACCTTGAAAATAACGACAATGCAAGATGACATTTGCAAGAACACCTGATATTCAAAAGCTGTGTTATTTTGATGCAATATCTATTTCTCAAATTCAGCAAAGCAGTATCAAAGCTCTATTGTTTATTTGATATGAATCATGCTGTCAACCACCAGCAGTTTTGCAAGGCATGAACAAAATTTGCTAGAATGAAGAGAAATATTTGATTAAAACTGTATGCTGTGTCAAAAAAAAAAGAACTGTTTACCATTTTACCAATGTAAAAAAGAAAAACTGACTAGTTTTCATAGTTTTTGCATAAATGTTAAAGTTTGAACATTATTGTTTCATCTAATATGACCAGATAAAGCTACACCCTCAACAATAAAAAACAAGATTTCACCCAAAGAAGCAAAAATAGAAAGGAAAAGCACACTTTTTCAAGACTGACTTATGTTAACGTATTGTTAGGAAACAGTTTTTTTATTTTTAAATCTTTGGAGTTTTTTTTTTTTTATTGAAATGACATTTGATATACTATCTCTGAAGAACAATGT